CTAATCCGAAAACCCCCAAGTAAAATTATTGCGATGGGTTATCCACGTTGGCCTGACATAATCAACTGTGTCCACACAGTGGAAGAAGCAGACAGAAGAGGCGTTCGGAGTGATCTGAAGTGGAAGGACTCAGCTCACTCGCGCGGAATGTGAAAGTATAGAAAGCGGGCCTTGAGACAGAAGACAGGCAACTCCTGAAAGCTGGATGCTGCAAGGAAACGAATCTCCCCTAAAGTCTCCAGAAGGCAGCACACCCGCCGCCATCTTGATTTCAGTCCAGTGAACTCTTGTAGAGTTTCTGACTTCCAGGACTGGAGGACAGAATTCTATTGCTCTAAGCTAGTAACTCGTTATGACAGCTGAAGAGTTAGCGCAGTGCTCTCAACAAGTTCTGGAAAATTCTTCTAATACAATCTGAAAATACCATCATTTACTCGCTCTTTATCCTCCATCTCTTGTCCAATCTTAAATATTTTGTACCTTTTTTTATTTTAATGGTTACTTAAAACTATTGGCTTCTGAGTCTGCTGTAAACTAACTCATATGTTTATCCCTATAAATAATTTGAATATAAATATGATTGAGTTATGTTATGTACACCTTTAAAAATTTGTACTTCTCTATATTGTATTTTAGGCTTCAAACTTCCATTTTAAAAAGTGCAATAAAATTATCATTCTATTATTTTATCAAAATTAAATTTTTATTTTCTTTATACTCATGTATTGAAATCACTTCAGTGATTGAGTTCTCTTCAGTCTGTCAATCCAGTTCTAATTGATCAGACACATGGTTAGAATTTTAGTGACACACAATGTTTTTCTGATTATTGATAAATATGTGTATACAATTTTATGTATGTTTACTGAATTCTGTTTTGAAAAAAAATGACTGTTTTATCTTAGATTCCAAATGTGTCATGCTTAGGTTTCAATTTTACTTTCATTAAAGTTAATAATCTAATATTTCTCTGTTTTAACAAAGAAAATCTTTAGCAATATTTGTTGAAATATATTCTACCATGCCATGAAAGACATCACCAATCTATAAGAATGTTCCTGTTCAAGTATGTTTCTCAGGACTTTGTCAAAATGCTAAGTCCCTTAGCAAATTACAAATGCCATCACACTTTAAAACATATGAGCTTCTGAGATGATTTAAAATTCTGATACTTTCCTCCCTCCCCCCCCCCTGCCTCCCTCCCTCCTTCCCTCCCTCTCTCCCTTCCTTCCTTCCTTCCTTCCTTCCTTCCTTCCTTCCTTCCTTCCTTCCTTCCTTCCTTCCTTCTTTCCTTCATTCCTACATGTGATTTCTAAGAGCAGAGCAAAATGTTCTGATGACACTGATAGACCTTTCTTCTCAGGGCTCTTATACACCCTGACTTACCACATCTATATGTGATAGAGTAACTCATTTCCTTCCAACCCTCAGTGGACTAAAGTTCATTTATCTTCTAATCTCAGGAAATAAGTTAACTCCTACCAACCTATGGTACTCTCAGAACACAGCTGTACTTTGGAATCAGTTATCCATTGATAATTTCAGTTTCCTCATTTGTCAAGGCAGCGTGGTAGCATTGGGTGGTATTGCCTACCACCAAAGAGCTTTGTGGCAACAGTGTAGTGCTACAGTGTATTGTCTGTGTTTGTGCTGTTCAGGATCAATCAGTGTGCCCCTGTATTGTCAGCCTGGAGTACCCGCCACAAAAACAAGTGTTCTGTTAAGTGTTCCACATGAAATTGTCATGGTCCCGTGAAAGGACTGCCCCGATTAATAGCAATTTCATCCCAAGATCGAAAATTCTGTAGTTCCAACTTTAATATTTTTTAAGCAATCAGAAATATTATATCTCTTATTTTAAGGTTCATTTTTCTTTGTTCCTTCAAGTAGTGTTAGTCGATTAACCTGAGCCAAGAGGAAATGACAGTTGTGTCGGACAAATGTCAACGATCGTATTGACACCAGCTTTTGTTATTTCATGCTGTACTGTCCTTCTTCCCTACTACATGAGCCACACAACATATCGGTAAGTTTAGGAGACACATATATTGTTTGCTAGAGCAACACAGGACAGTGCTTTGTGTCATCCAGAGTTTGGTATTCTTATTTTTTCCCTGTGAAACAATCATGAGGAGTCTTTTCTCAAAATCCTTTGTAAAAAGAGAAAATTATAAGCCAAAGATAGAAGGATAATGCTATGAAGAGCAGAGGCAGCCACTTTGTGTGTCTCGTGATGAGATGACGCCTGACCATAGTGCTTTCTAGTGGAAATCAAATGTCCAAGTGAAACAGCACTCACTTGATTAGGTAATCGTGATATGCCTTTTATTGGTTGGACTCTGATACGAATGCCTGACAACGACTAGAACTTTACCCAAAGAGACACGTATCACATACCACACAGTATAACGACAGTTGTAAAATATATCCAACTGTGACTCTGAGATGAAAATGCAAGGTAGTTAGTTCTTAGACACTTGAGTAAGACACAAAATAGTTCTTTATTGTAATAAGAATGTGTGTAAGCCTCAGTGACCATGAGGGCTTTCTTGTCCACCTATCTAATATTGTGGAGATCTGTGAAAATGAAAGTAATGACAGACATTGGGGCACATGTGTTTAATCCCAGAACTTGAGAGGTGGAGGCAGGAGGATCACTGTGAGTGGAAAGTCATTCTGTTTTACACTGTGACTTCTATGTCAGACAGTTCCATCTCAAAAAATAAAATGTAGTAACAACAACAGCAACTAAACAAAAAGCAAGGGACAAGCATTTTCACATTACGTTTTATGTGCACTGTATGTGGGCCCTGGCATCCATAAAATCATCCCAGTAAAGGTTTGGGTTTTAGAAGTTTGTTTGATTTTGTTTGTTTGTTTGTTTGTTTGTTTTATTTTTTGAGAGCATGCTCTTTTCTGTCTGGCCCCAGGAAAACTGGTAATAACAAATTCTACTCTTAAGAGGAGGTTAAAATAATTTTCACCTTTCAATTTTGCACAGGAAAATATACTTCAAAGGGCATGCTTAAGTACAGAGACATTTTTTTACTTTTGGATTTCATTTTGTAGTTCTTTTGCTTGCTATCTTTTACCTAAATTGTCAAAAAGGCTTAAGCTCGAGGTTAGGGAGTGGCAGGTTTTCAGAGAAACCAGGATTGATTTAAGAATATTCACATATTCTTTTTTGTTTTTTGAAAATTTTTTATTGGATATTTTATTATATTTCAGATGTTATCCCCTTTCCCCATTTTCCTCCCACCCAGAAACCCCCATTCCATCCCTCCTTCTCCTGCTTCTATGAGGATGTGCCGCCATCCACCCACACCCACCTCCCCACCCTCAAATTCCCCCACACCGGAGCATCCAGCCTTCACAGGACCAAGGATCTCCTCTCCCACTTATTCGTAACAAGGCCATCCTCCCCTATATATACAGCTGGAGTCATGGGTCCTTCCATGTGTGCTCCCAGACTAGTGGTTTAGACCCTGGGGACTCTGGTTGGCTGGTATTGTTGCTCTCCCCATGGGGCCGCAAACCCCTTCAGCTCCTTCAGTCTTCTCTCTAACCCTGTGATTAGTTTAATGGTTAGCTGTGAACATCTGCCTCTGTATATGTCAGGCTCTGGCAGAGCCTTTGAGGAGACAGCTATATCAGGCTCCTGTCAGCATGCATTTCCTGGTATCCACATCAGTGTCTGCTTTTGGTGACTGCACATGGGATGGATACCTAGGTTGAGCAGTCTCTGGACGGCCCTTCCTTCAGTTTCTGTTCCAAGCTTTCTCTCCATATTTGCTCCCATGAGTATTTTGTTACTCCTTCTAAGAAGGACCAAAGCACCCACACTTTGGTCTTCCTTCTTCATGAGCTTCGTGTGGTCTGTGAGTTGTATCTTGGGTATTGTAAGTTTATGGGCTAATATTCAATTATCAGTGACTGCATACCATGTGTGTTCTTTTGTGATTGGGTTGCCTCACTCAGGATGGTTTTTCTAGTTCCATCCATTTGCCTAAGAATTTCATTGTTTTTAATAGCTGAGTAAGACCAATACCCCCATAGCCCTCACTTCCACACTTTCCTCTTCTACTACCCAACTGACCCCCACCCCCCATGGAACTTCAATTTAGAAATGTTTATGTTTCTATCAGAACTTCCAGGGACAAGTGTTGGCTGGGGCACCTAGAGTGGCCTGAGTTATACAATGGCATTCTTTTTAAAGAGTTTCCTAGATAATATTCTGTTGCAAAAGTGATGAGAACTGGGATGTGTCCTCTTGAATCTCCTCTTAGAAATGCAACTCAGAAGGGAAAGGACTCTGGCCAACCAGTCTAGGAACCTGGGTATCTGGGAAACAGGCATCACTTGTCCTTACAAACAGAGGGCATTCTGGAAGCCTCAGTTGGCCTACTGACACACTAATGCTGGCAAATGCTGAGTGCCCCAACCCTACAGTTTCTCACATATAAGGGCAATGGTCTGTACTTCAGGGATGAACGGCCTAGTCACAGTCTTATCCTTCTCAATGGTGGTATGACTTAGGTTGAATTATGAAATTAAAAGTCATTTTGTAATGGTTGGTGAATAGTATAAAAATCCAAAAATAGCCACAGAAGATGTATTCTGGTTCAATCCAGTTCAATGAGATTGGGATTACTTGACCTCACTTTTTCTTATAACTTATAGAATACTCCAGTGTTGGTGATGATTATGTACTTGAGCAGAAAAGTATCACAACTAGGCTTTTTGTTGTAGTTTTTGTTGTTGTTGTTGTTTTTGGCATGTCTCCTTGGTGCTTTTGCATTTCTGCCTATGTCAGACTGTGCACTGGTTTAGTTTAGAATACAAGATGAAAGCTTCCCTGATTTTCCTTCTCAGATGAAACAAATTTCTTAAAAGCGAGAGACTACAAACTATAGCCCACCTACGTTTAATCATTAATAGTGAGCCCTTCCATGAACTTAGGTCCTGGTTTTGGAGTTTGGAATCTGACCTTTCCCCTATAGATAAACACTGTTGTCGCAGATTCTGAGGAGGGTCACTTCCTTGCTGGCTGCCATCAGAAGAGTCCACTGCTCAGTGACTCCTGGGAACTGGATGCGGTAGAGGGGTGCCAGGCAGCATGATCCTCTTGGCTGTGCTTTTCCTCTGCTTCTTCTCCTCATATTCTGCTTCTGTTAAAGGTAAGTTTACATTGCCTCTTCCTAAACTCGAATTTCAGTCTCTCTCTCTCTTTCTCCCTCCCCCTCCCCCTCTCTCTTTCTCTCTCTCTCCCTCTCGTGTGTGTGTGTGTGTGTGTGTGTGTGTGTGTGTGTGTGTGTGTGTGTTGAAAGAATTCCTAACTATACAATGTTTGAAAGTATGTAAGATTGGAATAGTGACTAGGTGGAAAGGAAGACAGAATTTAATTTTTGACTCTGTTTTACAAAAGTAGAGGTTTCTTCTCATATCAGCCCCTCCATCCCCCAGACCAGTGTGTCTCTAGCTTCAGTTTCTCACTCTTGGAGAGAGATGTGAGCTACTGCTACCTGCTGCTGATGGGCACATATCCACGCAGTGGTTCATTTGAATTGTAAAATAACCCAGTCCTCAAATTTCCTTCGAGTTGCTTAGCAATGGAACAACAAGAAGAATCAGACCCAATAAAAGAAAGGCATTTGATTGCCAAAGAATTATGAATGAACTGGTAAAGCCTGTCTGGGATTCCGTTGCTTCTCAAAGGAAGTAGAATAACCCGAGTTAGTGAATTAAGGAAATAAAGCTATACAATATGGATTTAAGAAATAAGACATCTTTTAAAGATAGCGTTACTAGTTAACAATTTTTGCTTTAAGACAAAAATTACTTTAAAAATATGAAAGAATAACGTCAGAAAAATATGAGAGGAAAATGATTTCATAAGGAATGGTTTTGAAAGTGTTGTGTGAAGTGTACGGATTTGGAACCTTCTATAAATCTACCAGCTTATAAACTCTCTGGATTTCATATTGTTACCTTGTATAAAGATGCCACTTTTTGTAGCTCATAAAAAATTATACTGTTATGCCAGGCAGTGGTGACGCATGCCTTTAATCCTAGCACTTGGGAGGCAGAAGCAGGCGGATTTCTGAATTTGAGGCCAGCCTGGTCTACAGAGTAAGTTCCAGGACAGCCTGGGCTATACAGGAGAAACTCTGTCTCAAAAAACCAAAAATAAATAAATGAACAAACAAACAAATTATACTGTTAAAACCAATGGCTCTAAAGGCAATCTGTTATGGTAGGAGTCAACTTCTAGTACTGAGTTCTCTGAGTGATGGACGTAAGGTAACCACACATAAACTTTAAATCTGTTTGGGATAAATGTGACTTTTGGTCATAAAGCAAAGTTTATCTCAGTGTTTCTCTCTCTTTCTCTCTTTCTGTGCGTGTGTATGTGAAATTTTTACATGAAAAAGAACTGTTACTACCACAAGACATCGAGGGCTACAACTCAATTGTTTTACCTGAGCGAATGTGTTCTTAAACTAGAGGGAATATTTTCAGTACTTTAGAAAAATCATCAGTGTTTAAGATATAACCCTTCCTCGAATGAAAATGTAAACTTCATAAATCATATCTGAATTGAAATTGTTATAAGATAGAGTTTTATTGTTTGTCTAATATGATGCAAACAGTATAATACAGAACCCAATACCATGATTATTTTGAAGGAAAAAAATGGAGATGTAGTAATTATTGTGGTTTGATGTTTGATTCTCATTCTGTTAACTTAAAAACAGCAAATTCACATACACACACACATATATACACACACATACACGCATATGCACAGGCACATGCATGCGCACGCGCACACGCACTGGCATACACAGGCACCAGCAGCACGCAGGCATGCCGCCTGCGCATGGGGAAGATGTGGCTAGAACCTGACAGTTTGTTGTGTACACGCTCAATGACAGATCCAGGATGTTAGAACCCAAAGCTTGTGCAACTGAGAGGCTGTCTTTGGGAAAACATTACAAAAATATCTTCTGCTTGCAAAGGTTACGGAGGAAAGATAAGGGATGAGGGCAGGTTGCTGGGGCCCTCTCCCAGAGTCTTACAAAAAGCCTGGGAGTGAGAGGCCCAGAGCCTATGCTTCTTTACCCGAGTTTCATTTCATTAAGACCTTCTGATGCTAAATATCACAAACACACACTATAGGACTTATTTCTCTCCCTCTACATGGAGTAGCCTTTGGTATTAGAGGACCCTGATTTGATGGTAGATTCTTTGCCTTGAAAATGATTGGTAGATAACAAGCAAACACCCCTTCTTAGGATGAAGGGCAGTGATTTGTTGAGTGGGAACGCCAAAGGCTGAAGTCTTCCCCACCTGCTGTTGACTGGGCTGCCAATGGTGGCTCTGTTCTCAGTGCTGACTCTGGTTTTGTTAATGGATGGCTTTTGCTTTCTGCTTGCTTTGTCTTCACTCAGTCCCTGATCCAGGCCTTAGTTTTAGTCCATTTGGGTTAATAACTCCCACATCCCATCCCACCTCCTGCCTTACATTTCCTTGTCAGCTTTTATTACCTTTTCCCTTATCTCCACAACCCAACTCCCCGAGTCTCACCTCCACTCTGCCTCCTTGATTCAGCCAACTAGCAGCTCCATCTTGCTGTCTCTACTTTGGGGATAAAACATGGCATTATGGGGGCTGGAGAGCTGGCTCAGTGGTTAAGAGGACTGACTACTCTTCCAGAGTTCAATTCCCAGCAACCACATGGTGGTTCACAACCATCTGTAATGGGTCTAATGCCCTCTTCCAGTGTCTCTGAAGAGAGCAACAGTGTACTCATATACATAAAATAAATAAATCTTTTTTTAAAAAATGCCATTATGTCCAGTCCGAAGGGAGACCCTGAAACAGAAACTAAGCCAATGACATGTTGGATGTCCAGTGCAGCCAGACCCCGGACAACTTAAGCAGAGAAACAGTCTAGGGAAGGGATAGAGAGTAACACTGGATCACAGGCTAATTTTTTTTTGGACCATCTTAAGGAAAAAAGACAGACACTTGAGGGCTATTGAAAGAGGTAGGAGAAGGCATGGGCGAGCCCTTCCTGCTCTGGGCTTCCTCGTCCCAGCATAGTCACGAGCTGACCAGTCATACGCTCCTTGTAACTGGTAAAACTAAAAGCAAGAAGACATCAGAACCGCAGATTAAGAATTACTCTCACCTGGGCAGTGGTGGCGCACACCTTTAATCCCAGCACTTGGGAGGCAGAGGCATTTATTATTTAGAGGATTTATTATTATTTTTAAATTTTATTTACTTTGGTTTTTTGAGACATAGTCTCACATCGTGGTCTAGGTTGGCATGGGACTCACAATGGAGTCCAGGCTGGCCTGGAATTATTATCTAGCCCAGGCTATCCTCAAACTTATGGATATCTTCTTGTCTCAGTCTTTAAAGCACTGGACTTACAAGTATGAACCACCACAACCACCAATGAAATAGTCTTTGGACAAGTTTGCTAAGTAAGCTTAGAGAGAAAACTACAGAGAGAAAACATTCTTTAAACACACCAGGTATGCTCATGAAAGAACTGTCTTTCTGATGACTGTTGAAATTAAAAAATATATTAATTATGGTGCTTTAAAAATGGATCTGTGGTTTGGTTAAAAGCACTTGTCTCTCTTCCAGAGGACCTGGGATTGGGTTTCAGTACCCACACAGCAGCTTACAACTGAATATAGGTCCAGGTCCAGGTCTAGGAAATCCAACACCCTCTTCTGACCTCCCTGGGCACTGCATGCATTTGGTGCGCATACATGCAGGCAAAACACCCATACACATACAATTTTAAATGTGAATTACATATGATCTTACTTAATTTGTAAAGCAATTCCTGTCAAGACCTCTGCTTGACCTTATAGTCACATGATTAAAAGCAATATGTCTGTTGCTCTAAAAATGTCTTTAATGTTCAGCCAGGGCAATATACAGATGACTTGATATTTAGATGAATAATGGCTCCTGAAACGAAAGCTTGTATGTGGTTCATCAGTTAACTCAGTTACTTGTGGTTTTTAAGCCACGGAGAAGTACACCGTCTTTGGTTCAGCAGGTGCTTGTTAAGCCCTGCTGAGCCTCAGTGAGCTGGAAGAACACAAGGGTGGCAAGACAGTATGTTCTCTGGCCTGACAGGTGCCTGACAATTGAAACTTGACCTGTGTCCCTCCTTTAATGCAGGTCACACAACTGGCCTCTCATTAAATAATGAGCGGCTATACAAGCTCACGTACAGCACTGACGTGTTTCTCGATGGGGGCAAAGGAAAACCTCAAGACAGCGTGGGCTTCCGGATCTCATGTGACGTGGACGTAGTGTTACTGTGGAGGAATCCTGACGGTGACGATGATCAACTGATCCAAGTCACGGTGGGCGCTTTCTACCAAAATGAAACACAAGACTTCGCTAAGATTAGATGTCAGAAGTATATTACCCAGCAGCCCTTGTGTTGCCCTCCTGGTTATACTTGGCTTCTTCTCTTTCACAAAGACAAGCGCAGCACTCACAGTTTTGAAATTGTTGAGAGTCAGTAACGAGTGTTCTCCACACTGTTGGAGCCGGCTGTTAGGAGATACGTGCTCCAGGCTGCCGAGTCACTGGAGTCTCATCTCCAGGTCTATAGAACGTTTTAATGTGAAAGAGATATGGTATTATGATCCATTCAAAGTGTCCTGGGAGGAAGGGATTTGCATGCATATCATGCAAGAAACCATGGGGACTGGAATGGAGAAGCATTAGAGAGGCCTCACTTAACAGGTGGGATTACTAACGAGGGACAGAGCCTCTTCTAGAAGAAACCAAGCATTCCATAGAACGACTGTGTTTGGTTAGCCGTGGTGGTTTAGATTTGTGAGAGGTTTTCTTCATGTTGATATATTGTAATTCTACTTTCTGGTAACCTAAGGCAACGAATTCCTCTTAAAGTTACATAGTCTCCTACAGGTTAATATCAAATAGGTGCACTGAACAAAACTATCCAATAGTTTGAATGTTCTTTATAGTGAGGTTTATTGCAGCCCAATTGCCAATCTGTTGTTGGTTTTCTTTTCCTTTTTTTTTAAATGTCTGTAGTGGTTGCTATATTTTCAAAGTTGGATCAAAGTATCACCATCCACTCCTCTGAGTCATTTGTCACAAGACCAGCAAGCTTTCCTGCAGAAGACATTGCCTGCATCCTTGTCCTGTACATCTGCTGCCCACCTTCCATTTAAAAACACACGGAAGCATAGTGGGTGGCGTTGTTCAGACATGCTACAAACAGGCAACCGATGAGGCAGGCAGTGACCGCTCAAAACAAGTCAGAAAGGTGACAGTGACACAGGAGAGCCAAATTCCAACCACTAGTTAAAATATCTAATGTTAAATACCTTCTCCATTCTCAGAAAGGGAATGAGATGGTGAACCTTTGTGGCTTAGTTGGTTAAGGTGGTTTTTTGAATGATACAAGGGACAAGTCTCATGAGTTTGAAAGATGACAACCTCAGTTGGTGTCCTTCACCACTAATTTTTCAAGAGGCAGCTGTGGGAGTTTTTTCTAACAGTTTTCTTTGATTGACCTTAGATAACGGCTGTCAATGTCGAAAATTCGGGTCAACAGAGAGGAGAGAAGAGCATCTTCAAGGGCAAAACCACGCCTAAGATCATAGGAAAGGACAGCCTGGAGGCTCTGCAGAGACCCATGCTACTTCATCTAGTCCGGGGGAAGGTAATGGCTCTGATGTTTTCTTCCCCTACTTCCTAGGCTGCTCCCTTCCAGCAGGTGGTGCTCCGAGGGGGTCACACGGTTACCACCTTTCTTTTCAGTGGAATCATCTCAAGATCTGATTAAAGGCTGCTGATGTAACATCTCCAGAGTAAATCAAATCATGTCCTGAATTCTATTCCCTACCCAGGTGTTCTCTCTCTCTCTCTCTCTCTCTCTCTCTCTCTCTCTCATTAAAATCATTGTAATAGTTTGAAATATTGGCTTATGGATGAGAAACACTATTCTTAAGCTGTATCTAATTAAATATTAAATTAGGAAGGATTATGGAGCTAGTTTAACACAGAAAATCATCACAGCATGTTTGGATAAGTTTAGGAAAGTGGGCAGATTAGAACGGAAGGTTAGAAGGTACATAAATAATATTAATTTGTGAGGCTATCTGTCTGGGCAAAGCATAAAACTGACCTTTTGCTGTGTCATATTGAAGGTTTAGCAGCTTTCAAAATATGTAGATATTTGTTATAAATACGACTTGGGGAAGCATTAAGCATAGCGAAATGATGACTGGATATTATAATGTGCATCTAGAATGCCAGTAAGGAAATTCTGTAAGCTTTCAGAAGTTTTATGATTTAAACCTAACTTATTTTATGGTCTTAATCTGTTGGAACTAAGAAGCAGCTCTGATCAGTTCATTATCAGGCATTCCGTATTCTGGCTTAGGAAAGTTGTGGGTATTTTATTCACATTAGGGAAGATGGGAGGTCACGCTCAATCATAAGGTAGAAAAACAAATGGGGCTCTATGGAGAGTTACAGTGGTCGCTTTGTATGTCTCCAAAGTTCAACTTTCTACACTCAAAATACCGATGACAAGTACTTGAAGGTAGAAAACGTCAGAAACCTCTGCTGCAAACATGATGCAAATTTTTTGTTATGGAGCCCTGAGAGAAGGAGTCTGGGGCAGCCATGTGCCACCATCACGCAGAATGTGAACCCCGGTCTCTCCCCACTGTCTCCCCACTACTCAGAATCTTTACAGTGATTCAAACTCTGCTCGTGTGTCCTTCTTCCTTTTGTGATGTTCACACTCTCTTAGTCAGCAGGAAGTAAGCATTTGACTCCACACACTCTTGGTACCTGGGATACCATCCATGCTTCTTCCCATTTTCTTTCAGCTATCTACAGTCCTTGCTAATCTATAGCTCTCAACAGGGAAACGCCCAATCCTGTTGGTAGTCCGGCCCCTCCATTCTCTGCCCTATGGCTTTCTTCCCCTTCCCTAGAGTACCTTGTGCTGACTGGTGTGTCCATAAAGCTCTCTTCAAATCCCCCAAGCCCGCCACCTCTTATTTGTTCTGAAGTTTGTCACAGTGCAGTCTAATTCTTTCATGAGGCAGCAACTAGTTTCTCATGAGCAGCAATTACATCTTTCCCTCAGTGCATTCAGCAACCACTTGTCGTGAAAACTTAACGAATGTAAAGTAAAGTGGTGAACTCCAGAGTTGATGTGATTCGTCAGTGACAAGTAAAGAGAACTCCGTGTTTGCCGTGTGCCGAGCTCTGCCTGCAGGCACAATGAACAGTTTTCTCCTGTGCTAGTCAGAGACCTAGGAGGCTGCTGCTGTGTTGACATCATCCTCCTGTAACAGAGGAGCACCTAGGGTTCTAAGGAAATTTTCAAAGGTCACAGAACTGGCAGGTCATGAAGTCAGCACTTGGAGCAAAGTCTACACCTAGTTTCTATGTTACCTTGTAACACAGAGGGCTCATTGCAAGCCCTCCTGGGCTGACTTGGAAAATTCCTTATGTCACCTTTCATTGTATGAGTCCACTCACTCAATTTGCATATGGCTTCACTTCATTAACACACAACACAACCCTTTTCTTCTCTGAGCCTCCAAAGTGGCAAGCTTCTCAAGTCCATTAAATATTAATTGCATTTATTGTCTTAACTACAACCTATCTTTTTATAGTGCCCTTGCCAGAAGCTGAGTACAAAGTCTTGTTACACACACACATACACACATACATACATAAGAACTGGATGCCCTCGGTGATCAAAGGCTGGAAGAAGCTGCCACATCACTATTTTGTTGACACCGATATGGGACCGGAGGTCTGTGATGACTTGCTGTAGCCACAGGTTAAAGGACACCATTACAGATCTCTCAGCTGTGCAATAAAGAGCTTGGGAAAGGCTCTGCCCTGTAGACTAAGAAGGAGCCAAAGGGAATTTCCGGTCACATCGCTATTAGAAAGGTCATTGTCGGTTCAGATTACGAGGAGAGAAACTGAGAAAGCAGAGAAAGTGCTGATGGGCAATTTTCTTAGAGGACATTTCTACCATAAGCCAAAATTAAATTCTACTCAAAATTCCTGAGATTTCAAGAGAATATTTTTTTTCTTCTAGAGTTCCCCTTTCTCTTCTTCCCATTCAAAGCTCCCATATTTACACTGTGGACAAACCTAACAAAATACTTGGATATATATTCATTGCATATTTTCTTTTGCCCACGGTCACTCATTACCCATATGTAATTGCATGGGCTGGACCTGAGTTTTGTCTCCATGGAATAAACTAATCTGGGAACATGGTAGTTCCCTGTTCAGTTCATTGACCCTGAAGGATGAAAGGTGCCTGTATTCATAGCGGGGATTCATTCTTGGTCTGAAATGCTAATCCAGTCGGATTCCACCCTTGGTTTTGCTTGTCTGTACTGATGAAATTAAGTTTGCTTCTTCCTTTGTATTGTGTCCTGGGGTGGATCTGCTATCTACATCAGACTTTGCAGCCCCTGCTCAGGCAGGGCTCTGTGTGGTAGTTGTCAGCACCAACTTGGAAGCTTCCAGGTTCTTCACCCATGTCTTTATTTACTCTGACATCACTTCATAACTATTGCCTTAGATAGATATCAGAGATAAAATGGTGACTCCCTGTTTGTCAGGATCAATTCAACTTATTTCTGTTGTTTAGGCAGTGGCTGTAAATTTGCCTTTTGTCACTGTATCCATTTAAGAGGGGCAACTTCTTCCTAAGGGAAAATATAGTTCCAAGGAAAAAATGGCCCCAAGCTTGACCACATGCTGCCGGATGTTTCCTTCCTGGCCATCTGCCTAGCCTCACTCTGAGTTCCCAAGTGGAAAACTTAGCTTACCGTTCTCTGGAAACTCTGGTGACTGCAGATTCAGACCGGAAGCCTCAGCACTTCGGTATTTAGAACTCATTTCAGAATTAAATGAAGTTAACAGCTTTATAACCTGAACACCATAAAACGTACTCGGTTCCTCTTGTGAAATAGTGAATTTAAGATTACTACGGTGACAGTCACCTGGGGTCAAACTTCAAAGTTCCAATTTATTAACATTATCATTGTTGAGTAATTTCGATGTCTGACAAATATGGATAAGAATGTTATCATCACTTTGGATCAGGTTGGTCTGTTCTAGAAATGAACAATTTTAGCTTCTGAAATAGCAGTCATACAAAGAGAAGAAACAAAAGGCTGGTTCACTCTTCTAGTTATAGGAAAACAATAGATACCAATAGAAAAAAGTTAATTTTTTTCCTCTGAGGAGTTTATGCTTTTTGGATTATTTACTTGGGGAAAAAAATAGCACTGCAGCGTCATCTTATCAAGACAGCAAGATGGACGTTGTGGACGTGACCAGTAAGAGATGAACACGTGACCTTATTTGTACACTGATTGCAAGGCCAGCATCTCCTGTAGCACAGCCAGAATGCTAAGCAATCTTTGTAGGCTAGGGAAACGGGAGCTAACAAAGATAATGCATTAGTTTCCCCAGTTAATGGCTTCTGAAGCATTCAAGACTCTGACCAAAATGTCATCCTCCTTCAACACACATCATGACCACCATCTAAGCACTTCCAACTTTTTCAGGCCTAAGGACTCTAGTTATAAGCCTTGTGTAGCCATGATATCCAGAGATATCTTAGCCCCAGGCATATATGCTGGAAACCATACCGTCATTGCTATGGGAAGGAAATCCCATAGCATAGAGCATCAGAAAGCAGCTTGCATCTGAAAGACAGCCAGTGGTTTGTTTGAGAATATGATCCCTGGATTTTCAGACAGTGAAGTCACTGGCACAGGTCCCCTTTAACCAGCACAGACAACACTATTCCAACCTTTAAGGATTACGCAGTGTAGTGACTAAAACGGATCTCAGATACAGTATCCAGCAGACCTGTCACTAGGCGGAGTATGTCTAGGAAGTAAAAATAGAGATTTGAAGCACTTGTGTGGTTAATTCAGACACAACATTGTCCCTGAAGGCATGAGAAATTTTTAGGTAGGCTGAATTATTCTGATTGGTATTAATTAAATTCATTACATTCCTGAGCTTGCTATTTTGTTTGAAATTCTGATTTTGTTGTTGTTTGTTTGTTTGTTTTGAGATACGGATTGGTGGGGGCTGGAATGCCCTGCTACAGCTTCTGTAGAGTGTAGTATTTTTACAGGGAAGGCATATCTGTCCTCTGCTTCTGAACTGTGGGGTATGTTTGAAGTCAGTCGAAGGGGAAAGTAATAGGCTGCCCTCTAAAAACTTCTCTATCATTTTTGTGCTGTTTCTTATCATTGGAATGATAAAAGATATGGGGCTCTCTCCTTTAGTTCTGACTTAAATGAGGCCAGCATATGGGGAATTGTTTTATTTTTTTATCTCTCAAGGGGTTAGAGGGGAGTGAATCTACAGACAAGTAGTACTACTTGAGGATCAAAATAAAAGGGAAACACAATCGTGGTTTGAAAAGCTTTGGGGAGGTGATCAGTTATATTTTATACCAGGTAGTGAGGGAAAGGTTGTGACCTCCAGTAAACACATGAGTAGAATGGTCATATCTGGATGAGGAAACACTTACAGGTACTGAGAAGTTTTAGTCGTGTGGATCCTGCCCCTTCTAAACTGTCCTTTCTAGAAGTTTGACTATATCCACAGTCTTTGAAAACCTTGTCACTCTGGTCATCCCATGGTCTCGATGATATCACACACCTCCCACAGACATTATATGTTGACCACAAGAGACAGTGGCCTGAGGACTCAGTGTTTTTCTCAAGGTCTGTGCTATCTTTGACTCCTGCCCCTGTCTTCCCCTCCTGTTGCTTGCATCCACAACTGATGGGCTTGGGTAGTGAACAGGCATGCGTAAATGGGGTGAGATGGAGGTCTTCAGCCTTGATTGGAGTGTTTTAAGGTTTCTATAAATTTCCCTCACTGGAACCCCATGCCGGTGCTTGAGTTTATAATGTATGTGACCCAGACTGTGGTTTTCTGCTTACGAGAGTTGGCTTCTTTACTTTCCTCAAGATTAAAGAATAATGCAAAGAACAATTGAACAAGGACTTGTCTGTTTTGATGTGCAACTTTGTAGGGGTCAGCTCCAAAGATGGCAAGCCTCCCTGTTGTGGGTAGTCAGGTACCTGCAGACAAATGATACTTTAGTCTTAGTGCGAGCCCTAGGCCTGCGTGCAGGAACACTGAAGTCCGTGCTGCAGCAGTGGGCACAGCAAATCGCTTCTTCAGGAGATTTGATTGGCTAGTGGCTAGGAAGTGGGCTTTTGCAAAGATACCCACAGTCTAACAGGTTTTTAAAAAACTATTGTTGCAGACATTGAGAAGCTAGACTGCCCTCTTCCTGTCTCCTTCCCTTCCACATAGTTGCATCCACAAGACAGCTGTTGTGTCCCACTCTCCTACTTTGCTCTTCTGTTAAAATAAAAACAGGGGTTGTCTTGTGTCCCGCTCCTGAATACATGTAAAATTTGTACAAAAATATCTTCTATGAAAATGACTTGTAGTCTGTAGACGTTACTTGGGAGATGTCTTGAGATGTAAAACTCCTAACTTTTGGGTTGAGGGTTTTTTGTTTTTCTCTAAATAAATTCAGTCTTTAAAGTTGAAAAAAAATAATATGAGGCCAATAAGTGTCAAGGATAAAAAAGAAAAAGAAACAAAGCCAAGTCACTTTCTATTCCTGCCAAACCATATTCCTTCTTTCAACCTCCTCTCCTATACCTTCTCAGGAAAACCTTCAGCAGTCGCCATGGACAGGCTGAACAGTAGAAGGAACCCCCACCCTCACCCCCAGTCCTGCAGTCTCTGCACATTTTGAGGCATCACTGCTCTGGGAATGCTTTGGTGATCTGCAGTTTGCTCATGGGGATAATGGCCATTCATGAGCAAACCTGAGCCCTGGCCATAGCTTCCTGACCTTATGACATTTCAGGAATGTTGACTGTCATTCATGGCGATTCTCATTTGCTTCCAAGAACCTTTCATTCACCTTTTTTGGTTTTTTATTTGTTTGTTTATTCATCTTTTGTTTCAAGCAGAATTCCAGGTTAAAGTGTGTGCTGGGAAGGAAAATAATGCTGGTTTCTTTTCTCCCCATGCGTAGCTCTGGATTTCACAGAGATCCTAGGCTCTCCACTGTGACCATTACGCTCAGAACCTTCATTTTCAGCTCCTAAGTTCCATTTCCTGATGATCTAGCTTCTTAGAAATTGAAACTGCTTCTTTTCACAAGAAAGAAATCACCGTTTTGCACTAACAGAATAATCTCTCACACAATCAGTGTATGTGAGAACCTAGCTTCTCCAGCCTCGGATTTAACTGAATCTGATAAACCGTGACTTTGTTTTTATTTGTCTTCTTCCCTTTAGGTCAAAGAGCTCTACTCCTACGAAGATGAGCCCGTGGGCATAGAAAATCTCAAGAGAGGCTTGGCCAGCTTATTCCAGATGCAGTTAAGCTCTGGAACCGCCAACGAGGTACTTAGTGACAATCCTAAGAACTCAGTATCTGGGTGAAGGGGAGGAGGCGCTCGCTATAATCTCAGCTAATTAGGGTCTAAGGCCTAGTTTTAAGCAAAAGTCTACCTGGGTAATAGAGTAACTTTAAGACAGTCTGGTGACTTAATGAAGCCTACCACTCTTATAAAAGATGGATGTGGATGCTTGTGTGCTAGTAACCAATGCAACAGGGAGAGACAAGTGAATTCTGGGAGTTCACTGACCAGCTGTTGATCCAGTCGGTGAGCTGCAGTTTTGGTGAGAGAACCTGTCTCAAGAGAAACACCTTATGTCCTCTATGGCCTACATGTATGCATATGAATGTGTACACACATACACATAGTTGTACACATGTGCATTTACCACACACACACACACACACACACACACACACACACACACACACACCATGCATATATCTCCCAAGCAATAATAAAATATAAAAAGAGCTGGAGATGTGACTCAGTAGGAGAGAGCATGTTGAGCAAGGTTGAGGTCCAGTTCAAACCCTAGTACTACAAAATAAATGAGTAGGTCTATAGATAAGTCAACCAACATCTTATTTGTCAACAGGTATATCAAATTGTTTCTAAGCATTTTTGCCTATTGAAATTCCACAGAAGATTATAACTGCTTTTAAGTATTAAAAGTATTAAGTATTGTTTTAGGAAAGTTGACTTAAGTTGGGTAGTCAAATTTCACTTACATATGAAGTGATTTATTGCTTAAATATGGAGTTAAGGAATTGGAATCAGTTCTATTAAAGGAACTTCGCATAACTGTAAAATATGAAGACAGCTTTGGTTGTTGAGTGTCTCTGTCCAGCTGCCTTGTGGGAAACGTACTAAAATCCATTCTCTAGACATATCCCAAGGATGCTAAAATCATAGCTAAGCAATGAGCTGAGAAGCTGCATTTTAATACTCTCAGGAATTTGGAATGGATCATGGGTGTTCAGAATCAAGTCCCCTAGTTCAGAGAGGAAATAGAAGTGAGTTAGAGAATTCACTGGGTCCCCAGCTATCCAACTTGAGCCAAGCTGGACACCAGTTTTCCTGATCTGAACTCATCCAGCCTATGAACAGAGGAGAAACTGTGATGGAGGGGCTGGGCCATGGGAATGTGGCTAGCTTACCAAAATAGCAGCAGGCATGGTGCTGGCAGGGGGCCGGAGGGGAAAGCTCATGGGAGCTCAGCAGCGTCTATTTTGGGATGTTTTTGTCTAAACTCAGATTCTTATTGTGAATGACAATGAATTTAGTTAATCTCACGAGTTTCACGTATTTTTCTCTTGAAAAATCACTCACACCATCTTGATACAGCTTTTAAAAGCATTCTCCCTCACCATATAATTACCCACATGGCCAGAGAGTTCAGTTATGGCCAAACAGTTTATTCAGATCCTGAGCTCCGAGAGAAAGTAGGATGGCCCATGATTCCTGGAACATGAATCCAGGAGATGAGGAGATGTTCTAAGACCTAACCAAGGACAGTGAGGTTCAGCAGCATCCTGTAAAAAGCCTTCAAGGACTTTTTGTTTTATTGTTCTGAGGTAGGGTGAAGTTCTCAACAGCATATTAAGGAAGCCACGAGTCAAGCGTTTTCCCATGAGAATGGAGGTGGTCCATTTGGGACCCCAAGCGTTATGTTCTTGCTTTCTGTTCCAGGTAGATATCTCTGGGGACTGTAAAGTGACCTACCAGGCCCAGCAGGACAAAGTGGTCAAAATTAAGGCTCTGGAGACATGCAAAATTGAGAGGTCTGGATTTACAACAGCAAATCAGGTATGACAGCTTCCTTTGAGGCACTCCACAATGACATTCTGTAGAGATTTAAGATAATAGAAAAGCAACAAAGCAATAAGCCTAGGAAGCATTTATCATTTTTAATTTAGGCTATGTCTTCACAAGCGTCACATGACTAGACACTTCAATGTATTGTGGGTGTTCTCGATGGGAGATGGCGTAAAAGAGGCACTCTTGAAAATTGAAAGTCGGCTGCTATTGAGTCAATCAAAGTTTAAGGATAATTACTTTCTACTGAATCTCTTACTCACTTATGCAGGTGCTGGGTGTCAGTTCGAAAGCCACATCTGTCACTACCTATAAGATAGAGGACAGCTTCGTCACTGCTGTGATTGCAGAAGAGACCAGGGCTTTTGCCTTGAACTTCGAACAAATCATAGCAGGAAAAATAGTGTCGAAGTAAGACAATGCTAAAAGTGTTATTTTCCTTCACATATTGCTATAGTCAATGTTTTCTTTTGTATATTATTGTATTTGACTTGTAAATAGGTGTGTGTGTGCATGTGTGTGTGTGTGTGCATGTGTGCGTGTGTGGATGCACACAGGCCCTCTTCATTTCTACTGAATTCCTTGCAAAAATTGGGTCCAACCTGTTCATCATCATTTTTCATACAATCTACAGTAACACATAGGAAATATTAGTTTCAGTACAGTTGCCTGTCTTTTGATGACAGAAAGACAAAATTCTAGGAGAATATATCAGAAAAAAATTACCAGTGAGACTAATTTTTAAAAATAAGCTTCGCTGATTATCTTTGTTAATAGATGACACTTGATTACCTTGAACACGATTTTCAGAAAGCTAACTCAAGAGGGCTGACAGAACTCCCATGTCTCCTTCTGCATCCTGACAAATTTTCTTTCTTCTATTCTCTTGGCATGATATTTTGAAAGTCTAGACCTAAACTTCCAAATCTTTGAATAAAATAGTTAGACCAGGGAAACTGAACAGTATTGTTGGGGTTCAAGGTATCTCTGGAGACGCCCTAGATTGCACGTGTAAATGGATGGAGAAAGTTGGTTGGTTTTGCGTTTTCTGAAAGAGTTGCAATTTTAGTATTTTTCCCCTCTCTCAAACATATAAATTCTTATAATGCGCTGTTTCCATTTGGTGTTGTACAGGCAGAAGCTGGAGCTGAAGACAACTGAAGCCGGCCCAAGAATGATACCTGGGAAGCAAGTGGCAGGTGTAATTAAAGCACTTGATTCCAAGTACAAAGCCATTCCTATTGTGGGTCAGGTCCTGCAGCATGTCTGCAAAGGATGTCCTTCTGTAAGTGAACAGACTGAATTCTGGGTTGTAATTGCGCTCTCTCTCTCTCTCTCTCTCTCTCTCTCTCTCTCTGCCTCCTCCTCCCTCTCTCTCTCTCTCTCTCTCTCTCTCTTTCTCTCTCTCTCCTTCTCTCCCTCTCTCCCTTCTTTTCTCTTTCTTTCTGCAGCAGAAGTAACTGCTAGTTTTTAAAAGACGGAATCAATCATTTTAAAACAGCATGGTGATTTACCACAGAGTGAACAGTCACTGATAGAATTTAACGTTCTATACAATGAGGTAAGAAGAAGAAGGTACTGAAGTAGGGAAGTTATTTGGCTTGTTCCAAAGGTGAAAGATGGCAGTGACTAGTGTTATCACTGCTCTCAAAGTCATTATACGATAACGGTAGCCTATGAGAAAGTGACCCCCTTCTCAGCCCGCCCCATTAAGCACAGATACACACTCTGAACAGTACAGATCCCAGCAACAGCATGGCATGGATTACACACAAGCAAAGCCGTAAGACAAGTAGGGAGCTCAGACTATTTGAAGCTTTGATTTGCAGTGAGGTCCGGACAAGTTAGAAAGCAGGTACAGCTCTGTGCCAGGTCTCATGTTGCCCTTCCCAAATACCAAATCCCCGGCTGTTAATGAAACCTCTGCACACTTTCCCTAGTGTGCTCAAAGCTTGGCCGCAGATGTGCTTGTCACAACACAGTCATTGGTGGACCCACACATCCAAACATCAGTTGGCTAATGGTCCAAGGTCCTGCGACTCCAGCTCTAGCATGGCCCCCAGGGGGAAGCAGGGCGATGGATTAGCTGCTGGCTTCACACAGTGTATGAAATGGATGGGGTGACCATTGTATGTCTGTGGGGAACAGCAGCTTACGGGAGTCGGGAGCTCAGAACTAAGGGGGTTGTACCCGTGGCCATGTTTTGCAGCTTGCGGAGCACTGGCAGTCAATCAGAAAGAACCTGGAGCCTGACAACCTGTCCAATGCTGAGGCCACCCGGAGCTTCCTGGCCTTCATTCGGCACCTCCGGACTTCGAGGAGAGAAGAGATCCTCCAGATTCTGAAGGCAGAGAAGAAAGAAGTTCTGTAAGCCACATTGTTATTTGTGGCTGTCTGTCAGGAAAGCTTTTACACCGCCACTGTCTTTTAATTTATTGTCTAAGATATATTTGCTTTGTGTGCATGAATACTTGTATGTACGCTGTGTGTGCCTGCCGCCTTTGGAGGTCAATACAGGGTATTGGATACCTTGGAACTGGAGTCACCTGTGACTGTGAGCTGCCATATGGGTGCTGGGAAATAAACTAGGTTCTTCTGCAAGAGCAGTGGTGCCCTAAGCCACTGAGCCATCTCTGTAACCCTGTTAGTTTTTTATTAAGTAAGAAGGACCCACTTTCAGTCTTCCGTCCAATGTTTCTGCTGGTCTGCATTTTCTAACAGCTGTACCACAGGTCAGTAACTTAATGCTCACTTGGCCAGAAACGCTCCAGCAAGTTTTCACACTGATTCTCACGACTGTTGTTTTAGTACAGACTTGAGTTTATCATGCTGAGATGGGGGCTGCCTTCCTTCTGTGGTATTGTGTTCTCTAGCTATTAATCAAATTTTCTTTGTTTGATGGATTTTGAGATAAGGGTTTACTCTGTAGCCCATGCTATCCTACAATGTATTATGTAGCCCAAGCTAGCCTTGAACCTGGGTTGATCTTCCTGCCTCAGCTTTCTTAAGGGTGGGATTATAAGGGTAAGCCTCTGTGAGCATGAGCTCAATATGTAATATTTATATCCGTATGCTCATTAGTGTAAAAAATTAGTTAAAAATTTTTATCATGCCCAGACTCAACTAACCAAAGATGTTTTTCATAACCAGGTTTTAACTACAATTTTTTTCATGGAAGACAATAACATATTCATTGTGAATAAAATAGAAGTATATAATGGTGTCTTTTTTATTTTTAAAGGGCAAAGTCTTCCCCCTTGTATATGAAGTTAAAGTAGTTTTCATTTTCTATTAATAATGAATGGTGCTTTAGTTTAATTAGGCATTTGAGAACTGTGTGTTTTAGTAAAGCTAATTAGAGAAAGTTCAGTTTGGAACTTCGAATTGTATGTATTACTCACATAAAAGTATTTTTATCCTTATTTACGATATTTACATAATGTTAACTTACAAATCTTTAAGCGTATTTTGCTTAGGTTAGCATAGTGTATGTTCTGAGACAAGAGAAGGGGGAGGAGAAATTTCAGTAGAATAAAACGGTCCTTAGGGAATATATTATTTATTATTTTTGTTCAAAGGGAAAACATACTTCTTTAAGAAGTTCAAATTAACAGAAAGCTGTTGAGTGGTGGGGATGGGTAGCACCTTCCTAGACACATCGATATCCGCAGTGACACCATGGTGACACCTGTTTTACAGCCCTCAGCTGGTGGACGCCGTCACCTCTGCTCAGACTCCAGACTCGCTGGAAGCCATCCTGGACTTTTTGGATTTCAAAAGCGACAGCAGTATCGTTCTCCAGGAAAGGTTCCTCTATGCCTGTGGATTTGCCTCCCACCCTGATGAAGAACTCCTTCGAGCCCTCCTTGTAAGTCAGGGACACTGGGAAAATGGTGACCACGGGCTGCTAGGGTAAAGATGACAAACAAAACTTCTTAAATGGAAGCAAGTCTTAAAAGTAGAGCCAGTCAGAGCTGAGGCCAACGGAGAGAGCTCTGCTTGCATTTGCACCGCTGGCCTCCTCTCTGTGCACTAACCAGCACAGTCAGCCTTCTCACTTAGGGGCTCGGAAAGACTAGTGACCAGCAAGGCCTACACTTTTTTTTATGACAACCTGAAGATTACAGTCACCTTATCATGTGCCAAAGAACAAAACATCAGAGTAAACCGTTTGATGTTCCAATGAGCAATTAGGATTATTTTGACTTCAAAAATCTTCATGCTATTTCTACATACACATCGACATCACCGCTTCATATAAAGAACATTACAGACTTTTTGGGCATCCTAGATGAAATTGAATAGCCAAATCCCTGAACCCTGAAGGGTTCACAGAAAACCCTGGGAGTAAGATCATTAGAAATCGGGCAGTCTAGCAATCCTTCATGCAAAACTAGAAATTTCTAAGTGTCTCAAAAACAAAATTCTGAGTTTGTTGTCTAGGAACACAAAGTCATTTCCCTGGATGTTGGTTACTTTATTAGCTGAGAACTGTCCCTTTGGAAAGCTGAAGTGTCCTGATGACCTATTTGACCCCTGTTTGGCCACAGAGTAAGTTCAAAGGTTCCTTTGCGAGCAACGACATCAGAGAGTCGGTTATGATCATCATTGGAGCCCTAGTCAGGAAGCTGTGTCAGAATGAAGGCTGCAAGCTCAAGGTAAGTGCCACAGTCCCGAGCCCACGGTGTCCAGACTGCCCAGTGTAACACCAGCCACACTGCTGACATCCAGACTATCACAGCGTGACGCCACGGTCTCGTGTTCACTGTGTCCAGACTGCGCATGCCCAGTGTAGCCATCCAGCCAACATGGCCACACCTCAGCCCCCAACTCCACAGTCATTCCATCTCACACACTTTACAGTTTAGCTGCTCATTAGCATTCTTGATTATTTCTGTCTCTCGTCGGAACAGAAGCTCCACACAGCGATGGATCTTTGTTTTTCAACACCAGTTGCTTAAAGAATGCCTACTGTGTAGATTGTGATCAATAAATGTTCTCTAGAAGTCAAATCACCCAACAATTTTTCTACTAAATACAAATTTGTTGAGAGTCCTCTATGTCTGTACTCAGGCATTACTTTTGCTTTTGTTTTTATTTGTCTGTGACAAATTATACATGCACATATACATACATGCGTTTATTTGTGAAGTAAAATGTGATGCTTTAAACATTTATGCATTGTACAATGATCAAATTGAGTGATTAGCATATCCATGACCTACAATACATATTATCTCCTTAGAGTAAAGACGTTTAAAATATATTCACAGTATTTTGAAATGTAACAAGACAATAGCTTTAACTAGTCATCATGCTAAGCGGTCTTCGGTTTCACTGGAACTGTGTGAAACATAACCACACATGGAAAACTCGTGGCTTAATCTAGTAATATCCATTTAAAAAGCCATTTTTCTACTTTAGAAGATGAAAATGCTAAGTACACACGGCTCTTTCTCTCCCCGTTATTATTGTGAGCTAACATTCAGCTCACATTTTTCTTCTGCTATTTTCTTCAGTCCCTATTTTTCTTCTGCTATAGAAAAAAATTACTGTGTCATCTTTTCTCCTAAATGCTTGTTATTGAAAACCATATGAAGGATTGCCACTGAGACCAAATGGTTCCACTGGAGCAGCCTACAGATAGAATGCATGATAAGCATGTAAAAAAAAGTCTACAAAAAACACAGATATTGAAAATGATTATCGGTTACGATAGAAATTAAATTTAGTATTACATCTAAGACACCCGAGAATGACAAATCCCTACATTTCTGATTTCAATGATTATTAAATAGCTGATTTATTTGCTCAATTTCTGGGTTAAGTATTGTGGCTAAGGATAAAATCCATATATAAAATACCCAGGTATCATTTTTTAGTGAACACTGACTTTATACTAGGCTCGATGCCGATCCTTTAACATAAAGATGCACAGAATATCACACCACCATCACAGAATTCCTTGTCTGCTTATCAAATACAAAGATACCAATGTAGTGATTCCCTGTACATATGTGGCTTCTCCATTTGGGATTTAACCAGCCACGGGTTGAAAATAGTGAGGGAAAACAGATGTTCATGGCGATGTATTCAACACAGCATAGCCATCTGCTCAACAGTCACCTTATACTGAGGACAACAAATACTCCTGAGATTACTCAAGTAAGCAGGGTGGTCCATGTAGAAAAGCAAATACTGCCTTATTTTATCTAAGGGTCCCAAGCACCCATGAATCATGGTATCACCAGGAGGTCCAGGAACCAATCCCCATGAATGTTGTAGTATTAAACCATAAACAAATGATCTGGGGATCTGGAACCACAGTTGTCTTTTGTTTGGGGTGCTGAGGAAGTTTTCTCCATATAAAACAGCTGAGCTTTATGTGGAATCGCCCTCATGCATTTTGAGCATGTTAAAGACTGTCCATTATTAATTATGCTCTGCTTTTCTAGAACACATAAGAATACATTTGAGAAAATTCCATACCTTAACAAGTTTTACATAGTAAAGAAAGCAAAGCTTCCTAGAAGCTGATGTTGTTTTCCTGTCTGAGTGTTGTAATTGAACATTCGTCTGAGGCATGTGGTGTTTTAGGCAGTGGTTGAAGCTAAGAAGCTAATCCTGGGAGGACTTGAAAAACCAGAGAAAAAAGAAGACACTATGATGTACCTGCTGGCTCTGAAGAATGCCTTGCTTCCCGAAGGCATCCCGCTCATTTTGAAGTATGCTGAGTCTGGAGAAGGGCCCATCAGCCACCTGGCCACCACTGTTCTTCAGAGATATGATGTCTCCTTCATCACAGATGAGGTAAGCATCTGAACCCTTTGCTACGTTAACAGAAGGAGGGAGGAAAAAAAAACACTTCTGGCAAATCACATGTTATCTACTCTCAAGTCAGCTATTAAAAACAATCAATTTGAGAAATTCCTAGGTAAATGGATGGAACTAGAAAATATCATCCTGAGTGGGGTAAGCCAATCACAAAAGAACACACATGGTATTCACTCACTGATTATTGGATATTAGCCCAGAACCTTGAAATGCCCAAGATGCAACTCACAGGCCACATGAAGCTCATGAAGAAGGAAGACCAAGTGGGGGTGATTCGGTCCTTCTTAGAAGGAGCAACAAAATACTCAAGGGAGCAAATATGGAGACAAAGTGAGGGACAGAAACTGAAGGAGGGGCCGTCTGAAGACCATTCCACCTGAGTATCCATCCCATGTGCAGTCACCAAAGGTAGATGCTGATGTGGAAGTCAGGAAGTGCATGCTGATAAGAGCCTGATATGGATGTCTCCTCAGAGGTCTGCAAGAGTCTGACATATTCAGAGCCAGATGCTCACAACTAGCCATTGAACTGATCATGGGGTTCTCAATGGAGGAGTGAGAGTAAAGACCGTTGGAGCTGAAAGGGTTTGTGGCCCCATGAGGAGAGCAGCAATACCAACCAACCACAGCTCCCAGGGTCTAAACCACCAGCCTGGGAGCACTTAGGGAGGGATCCATGGCTTCAGCTGTATTTGTAAGAGTGGAGGGCCCTGCTGGGCATAGGTGGAAGAAGAGATCCTTGACCTTATGAAAGCTGGATGCCCCAGGGGGTAGGAATTTGAGGGTGGGGAGGAGGGAGTGGGGGGGTAGGTAGGGGTTACATCCGCAGAGAAGAAGGAGGAGAGGTGAGGGGATAGGGGGTTCCTGAGTGGGTGGGGGATGGGGTAAGGGGACAACATATGAAATGTAAATAAAACATCCAAAAGAAAAGTCTTTGAAAAATCTCAAAAAAAAAAAGAATATACGCAGAAAAAAAAAAGAAAGACCAACCTAGCTATATATTCTTGGGGTCATTTCCCAATTGCTTGTTCTTGGGTGGGTTATTTAACTCCTACAGCTCTGAGAGCAAGAACCAGAAGTGAGGAGATAGGGAAAAACAAGAGGCGAGGAGAACTGAAGAACATAGCATGTTATACATAGAGTAAAGATTCAAGAAAGGAGTTGTAATCCTTTATAGAATTCTTGATAGATTCTTGAAGAAACTAGTGTAGTCCCATGAAGCCTGTGTTGATTCCTCCTGAGGGCAATGCTTCCACAACCTAATTGCACTGCACTAGACCCTGCTTTTCAAGTGCTCAACCACCTTAACACCACCATACAGACGACCACATATAAACCATTGGAAGGACAAATTCACACCATAGAGACTGGTAGAGAAGGTTGATATTGGGGGGGGGCGGATTATTCATGAGTTGGAGTTGAGGATATTTAGAAACTGTTTTGACTTTTATAGTGAACATGAACCTACCACCAGAAACAAGCATGTTAAATTTACTTTTAAATAAGAGAGGAAAGGAATTTGAGGTACTTTGTTGTAAGAAAACACCAATTCATATTGCTTTCTCCCCCCCCCCCACCCCTGCCCCAACCAAAGCCCCAGTGACATAGCAGCAGCCTTAGAAGTTTATATCAGGTAATACCAAGCACTGTTGCCATAGCACATGAACTACAAAACCTCACAGTTGATCCACAGTTTGTTATACACAATGTGTCTAAAGTGGGTTAGGGGATATGTGGCTACGTGTTCCCAGCAGTCATACAAGAGATGCTGAAGGCATGTCTGCTTTTATCCACCTATGCCTAAGAGTCATCCACATCATTCCTGTTCATGGTCCAGTAGCCGGCCTCATCACATGGCATCAACCTAATTACAAAAGGATCTAGCAACTGTAATAACTCAGGTGTATCTAAACAAGCACTTGCTATTCTCACTACAATATCAATTTTTAAATTATTACACTAAGTATTGATTGTGTATGTGTGTATGCCTGTGCACGGGCACACACACATATACACACACACACATACACACACACATACACACACACACACACACACACATCATGACATACATGAAGAGTTCAGAGAGCAACCTTTGAAGTCAGTTCTTTCCTTCCACCACGTGGATCCAGAGGGTGAGACTCATATACATTATCAAGGTTGGTCACAGACACCTTTCTCTGATGATCCACCTCACTGTCCCTACAATAGCAATTTTAAAACTCCATGGATACTAAGCTTAAACATCTCTTAACAGGTGAAGAAGACCTTGAACAGGATATACCACCAGAATCATAAGGTTCATGAAAAGACTGTGCGTACAACTGCCGCTGCTGTTATCTTAAAGAACAACCCATCTTACATGGATGTGAAGAACATTCTGCTGTCTATTGGGGAACTTCCTAAAGAAATGAGTAAATACATGCTCTCTGTTGTGCGAGACATCCTGCATTTTGAAATGCCTGCAAGGTAAAATGCATTCTATACGCCTCTTCTTATGTAAGACTATCTGTATATTGATATGGTGCCTCAGCTAATAATCATGACCTGGTCATTACACTGGACAATGTTATATAAACCTAACGAGTGTCAAGTTTCCCCAAAGAAACTCTTTAGTGAGTTGCATAAAACAACCTTCCTTGCTCTGGTTGTGATTTGGAACTCTGGGTAGGGCTGCTTCTCTGGGTATCTACTCAGTATGATAAATCACCAAATGTTAGTAAAGTTTTAAAGTCTAATTGCATTTTCAACAGGACTATTTTTATAAGTAGCACAATGAGACAAAGAGCGTTCTTTCATCTTAGCTTTTCAAATGTGAGGACTTTCTGAAGACTTTTATCACAACTCCCCTGAATTTGCCACTCTTGAGTTGCAAATCTTGGTCATGGCCCAGTTTAGGAGGAGCCAGGCTTTGAAGAGCTGCACTGGCTGACTTCACTGTGCTCAGTCACTGTCCCTAAACACACTTCACCACATCTCCCAAAAGCCACCTTCCACATTCATTCTGAATGTCACCCACTCTTCAGGACATCTCCCTGAAAGGGAGGAGCAGGACAGTCAGAACAGAGGTGTCAGGAGCAGGAAGGAATCCAGGATGTTCTGGGATGTTTGGATCAGATTCTTCTGTTTCTCTGTTGTTATTCAAGAATTTTTGAGGAGGCCCTGTGTGTAGCCCATGACTCTGGTTTGTGAACCTCGTCATCTGGGGACAGTGGGATAGACAGCAGCCTGGGGAATGGAGAGAAGCCATTGTAAACATTTACATCAGGTTCTCAGAAACAAAACCCTTAGAGCAGGAAGAGAAACTGAGGTCCACCTTGCTTGGTCTGTATCTCTTTCCAGTGTAGGGGTATTTGGTTGGTTGGTTTGTTTTTGTTTTGTTTTATTTTGCTTCCTGGAATGTGGCACCAGACTCCACTGACTGTCTATGATGTCAGGGACCTCACTGCCACTAAACGAATCTGTGCCACTGTTCAGGACTTCATTACTGTGTTTTGCTCTAAACAATGCCTTCTTATTGGCTCTGGGTTTGTATCTGGAACGAAGCAGAATGTGTCTGAAGTTCATCCACATGAAACCCTGGACTATTTGAGAACATGATCTTTTTGTCTTTAAAGCTAAAAAATTAAGTGACTTGGCGGTATTGATGGATAAGGAGGTTATTAGCAAAGAGCCATTCCTTCCTTGCAAAATGCTTCTGCCTCAGAGCTAGGCCTGGTCACGCTAGTTGATTCCTTAAGGGTTTTTGATGTGTTGTAGTTGTACGGTTAGTGATGGATTTGTGTGAGACAATAAGAAATGAGATCTCAGTGCTAATTTCATAAACACAACATGGGAGTGGAGGAAGAGCCAAAGCTTTGGAGGAGAGACTCCGTCTCCTGTGAGCTCTATTGGGCTTTTGCTGTGGTGGAAAATACGTAGAGAGCTGTCCTAGAAGTTTGTGGTTTTGTATCGTCTGCCAATGGATAGATCTTAGAAGGGAAAGAAAAAAATGTGTGCAGCAGCCTCCTGCTTGGCACAGCTTTCTTAAATTTATATACTATTTTAACAGTACAACTGTGATGACTCAAAGAACATGAGTTTTCTGCTTGCAACGTGTCCACCGCTCAGCTGAAGGCATCTCATGCTCTGTCCCTTTGACACCAAACTAAATGTCAGCTATTTGAGGAACGAAGGGGAGAGCCCTCATCTTGCCCCTGGTGCCCCATCAGCACTTCCTTGGATCTTCCAGCAGCATGAGGGCTTCTCTTTTTTAACATTGGGGATTTGGTTGCGTTCCCAATTTGATCTGGGAAACAGATGTTACCATGAATGAAAAGCCTTCTCTTCTGTTTTGCAGCAAAATGATCCGTCGAGTTCTCAAGGAGATGGTTGTTCAAAATTATGACCGTTTCTCCAAGAGTGGATCCTCTTCTGCCTATACTGGCTACATAGAACGTACGTGACCCCTGAGGAGCTTCCCCTCCCACCCCCTTTCATCGATATTGCAGGAATTGTGACTGAGTTCCATGGTTCTTTTGTCATTAGGTAGTCCCCATGCAGCATCCACATACAGCCTTGACATCCTTTACTCTGGTTCTGGCATTCTGAGGAGAAGTAACCTGAACATCTTCCAGTACATCGGAAAAGCGGAGCTTCATGGTAGTCAGGTACCTCTGAGTTACTAATGAGAGAAACTTGTCTGAGGGAAAATGGCAGATACCGAGAGTAGCATTACAGAATATATTTTATATTTTACACATTAGTATGTAAGTTAATGGTGGCTTACATATATATGCATGTATTTATATATATTCTATAATACACACACACACAGAGAGAGAGAGAGAGAGAGAGAGAGAGAGAGAGATGAAGCTGTGCCAGAATTTGCTAGTTAGACTTTCATTCAAGGATACACACTTAGATATCCCTAAGTATTTAATTTAATTTTATGCTGTTTGCCTTTTCACTTATCTCTACAGAGACTAATTGCCCCTATAAGAAACTTCAATGTACAAAAAGAAAGAAAGAAAGAAAGGAAGAAAGAAAGAAAGAAAGAAAGAGAGAAAGAAAGAAAGAACCCAAAACAAAAACAAAAAAAACCTCACAATTTACAGTTCTTAAAGAATTAGCTTTGATTTCTCCAGTACTGCTAGGAAAGAAAGGAATCAGGTAGTATTAGCAGTGGAGAACTGGTTGAGTTTTACTCCTAAATTAAGTGATGATTTATCTTTACTGTGAACCATACCATCAGTCTGGCTTTATGAATATCAGATTATAACCTTCTAATTGAAGTTATGCAAGCTTCAATGACGATCCGTTGCTATGGAAACTTGGGTGCTCATCAATATGAACTCATCATCCCACTCAGTAGCATCATGGTCAGAATCCCATACCTACCATGCCAAGGCATTGCCACCTGCTGTCTCATGTGCCCTCAGAAATGTCAAGCACACAGTGGTTAGAGCCTGGCTATGCAGGATGGAAAATAAGCAAAATTCCTTACGGGCTAGTCATCTGGGTGTGAGCTTTCTCATAGTGTGGCCTCATTCTTGTGGTGAAGGATGAAAAATGGACATGGAGGGGCGTTAGTGTGCCCTCTCAGAACAGCTGACTGGATGGAGAGCCCCTGCCTTTCCATCTCCTGTCAGAGGCTCATGAAGATGGCTGGTCTGTAAGCGTCTTGAGTAGTGCCCTCCAAGAGAAGGCCTGCGGTCTTTGTAGTTGCATAGCAAGGATTCAAGTCCTGTTTCTGCAGCATACTAGCTAAGTGAATAGTCAGTCACCTGTCCTCACCTTGTCTACTAACTGAATAAAATCTTCCATGTATCCAAGGGTAGTTGTGAAAAGTACATGGAGAAAATTAATCTCCATTATATTAGACATAGAGGCTTAGTTTTTGTTCTTGCCTACTTGCAGAAGATACTTAAGGTTTTGGTCCTGGAAAAGGTCTATCTGTAGCTCAGAGACCTCTCCATCGAGGTCTATCTGTAGCTTAGAGACCTCTCCATCACCCATGGAACAAAAGGGGATCTCTGACCATCATCCTTGTGTCCTTTTCTCCCTAGGTGGTCCTTGAAGCCCAAGGGCTGGAAGGGCTAATTGCAGCCACTCCTGATGAAGGAGAGGAGAACCTTGACTCCTATGCTGGCATGTCAGCCATCCTGTTTGATGTTCAGCTTAGACCTGTCACATTTTTTAATGGATACAGTGATTTGATGTCCAAAATGCTGTCGGCATCCAGTGACCCTGTCAGCGTGGTGAAAGGGCTTATTCTGCTCATAGACCATTTTCAGGTAAAACTCTACCTCTCTCAGTCTGCAAGTACTTACTGAGTTTCCAGGACACTGTGTGTGTGTGTGTGTGTGTGTGTGTGTGTGTACATGTTTGTGCACAGTAAGCACATCTTTGCACTCTTAGATCATGTAAAAGTGGTCAACCTTGGAAGTCTTCCACAATTGCCTTCCAGCTTATTTTTTGAGACTCTAGAACACGTTCAGTTAAGCTATGATGGCTGGACAGCAAGTCACAGGGATTCTCCTGCCTCTGTCTCCCAGCACTGGGGTTACTGCTGTGCACTACTGTGCCTTGATTTTATGTGAGTGATGTGGAGTGAAATCAGGCCTTGTGCTTGTGCGGCAGACTGAGCCTCTCCCAGCTCAGTGGACACATTTTAAACGTGTCTAGACAATGCAAGGTAAAGCTCTGCGGATCCTGGAGCTCACCCCCTATGTCTTTGATCCTCTTGCTATTGCTGCCCTTTCCTCTTTGCTATAGGTAAGTACCATTGCTTTCTCTGTTAGTAGCTGCTTCATGGAGAATGCCTGAGATACAACAGAGCAGAGCTGGTATTACCTGAAAACACAGTTTTCCTGCACTGGGGGATGGAGTCAGAGGGGGCAGGGGATGTCTTGTCTTTTTACCCTGAATGCAGGAGCTGAGCTAGCTGCGGTGACAATGATTATGAAAATCAGTGTGGTGCATCATTTTGATGATGTCAAAGTAGCAAAGACCTGAGCCCCTGCTGACACCGGCTCTTGTGTCAGAGTCATGGGCTCTTAGAGAAGCTTGCTCATTCATAGACAACACAAGTACTTTTGTTTCCTTGACTTGTTCTCAAGGATTATTTTTCAGAGCTCCTTGTTGCTAAGTCTTAAAACAGTTCTTCTTATGTGGAACAATTTCTGTGTCTAAGATACTGTAGGCTTTAGGAGACTTGTCCAGTTGGATTTTCTGAGAGACAGAGAGGGTTCATCTATCTGAACAGCCCTAGAGATGGAGTGCTTGTTGCTTACATTTTTTTCTTTAGTGTTTTGATGCATGTCCCACCTTAGCAGGATGATATTAAAAATGGAATGTTAATAGGTAGCAGCTTATGGGGCATTGGCATGTACTCTAATTCATACTTATAATATTAAAGTACTACATGGAGATTTACTTTAACATGTATGTACTGTGGGACTGGTTTCTTTTGGGCTGAGGTGACATCATACCTAGCAGCCTCGGCTTGGGGTTGGTTTTTACAGCTTCTTTGGTGTGGTCTTGGGAAGAAAGCTACCACATAGCTTCAAGCCATGGTTTTCTGCTACAAAGTGAGGCAGTTATTAACAGACTCGAGTATTCTATAAGCTCTATTGCTCTTCACCAAATTATTTGAAGATTCTGTTTTTTAAGGCTCTGGTTATGGAGTCATGGGTTTTAAGAGCTGGGGAAATCTCTGATACTGCCTTTTGTTAGAACTCACCCCAAAACATCAATGGCTGAAATGAAATATTATCATGTCTTGATCTTTACTGCTCCGTATATAAGCTCAAGGTAGTAATAGATTGCAAAAATGATTGGACAATTTGGCTTGTATGATGCAATAAGAATTTGAAAGTAGACAGTCCAGCATTAACACAGAAATCCTCAGGGACCACAATCTGTGCACTAGCTCTGCCTGCCTACTTGAGTCTTTTCTCTTTTGGAAACAAGGTCTTATTGTGTAGCATTGACTGGCCTGGAAACCACTGAGAACAAGCTGGCCTCGAACTCACAGAGATCTGCCTCCCTCTGCCTCCCAAGTGGTAGGATTAAGGGCATGTGCAACGATACCCAGTTTTCCTATGACTTTTAACCTCATGCTTTCACCTTGTGACTTTGTGATGGCCACTTCTCCTCTGTCACAGAAAACCCTACTCCCTCTACCCCCAATTGAAGGAAAGGGGAAGGATGAAGGGCTGGGTGCCCACCCAGAAGTGCTGGTAGAATGCCAAAATCCAAAATGGCATCACATAGCTATCTCTAGCTGCAAGGCAAGTGGTATTTTGCAGCTTTGCACTGAGTATATGTGCTAATTAGGGTTTTATTGCTGTGAAGAGACACCATGAGCATGATCACTCTTACAAAGGAAAGCAGTTAGTTGGGGCTGGCTTACAGTTTCTGAGGTTTAGTCCATTATCATCATGGTGAAGCATAGCAGCATGCAGACAGACTTGGTAATGGAGAAGGAGCTGAGAGTCCTGTGTCTTGATCCTTATCCCCAGGCAGCAGGATGTGAGAGTGACACACATCCTCCCACAATCCCACAGCTCTTCATAGCACCACTCCGTCTGAGCCTATGGGGACCATTTTCTTTCAAACCTCTACAGTATAGATGTGCTCCAAAGAAAAGCACATTTCTTTTCATGTGGACGAAGAGGAGAAAAACCAGAGGTGCAGCTCCTTCTCTCTAGCCCTCAAGTCACACAAAAACAAGCACTTGGTGCTGGCAAACCTGTAAATGGCAGGGAGTGGATATTTCTGCCTTCAAGAGCCAATGCTCTTGATACATCTGTGTAGCCCCATGATTACTGTGTGAAAACAGCCGTCAGCAATATATTGAATGAGTAGAGCTATGCCCCAACAACATTTTTTTTTACAAAAACAGCCAGCGAGGCAGAGAACCTATAGGCTACAGTTTGTTAGTCCTGATTTAAATTTTCTTATATGATTTCTCTGTTCATTACGATAAGACATCCTGGGCAAGGTGTGCTCAAAGACAGATTGTACCTTCAATTTTAACCATAACCAGTGTCTGTGGGTGTCAGGCTGAAGTACTTGGCGAATTTGAGGTTATTTTACAAATAACTGAAGTCCTGGGCTCTGCAGAACACGCCAGTGATGCCATCCTAGCTTGAGAGGAGCATGCTACTCCAGGTCAAGTGCTGATGTTGAAAGAAATGGTGGCAGCTGGCAGCCTGTCATAGCTGCCAGGGCACATAGAATCAATCTCTCTCTCTCTCTCTCTCTCTCTCTCTCTCTCTCTCTCTCTCCCGCCC